ACTTCGATACGACTGTTTTGCAACTTCCATTTGTATGGCCGATTATTGACTCTTGTGTCTCCCATGAATATGATAGGGACAGGGAAAGAGTTGTAGAGACAGAAATTCTAAACGCAGATATTATTCCTCCTGAAAGACCATTATATGTCGGACATAGAAAAAAGGCTAGAGTTTTGGAACTGAGAGGCGGATTTGAGGACTTGAAGGAGGAAACTTTTGTGGCTGTATGGGGAAGGAAAGACGAGGAAGAGAATGGAAAGCCTTATTTTATAGTTAAAGTAAAGAAACTTTTAGAAGGCGAGAAATTTGTGGGACACTGGTATGCCGAGAGCGGGAACGGTAAGTACCATCCATATAACCATACAGATCCTCGAGGACGTGTGACAAACAGACCTGTGGAACATACATTTTCGTGGGACTGTGGGATTCTTTGTTATAACTTCGGTTTGAAAGCAGATAGAGCATTGTACACAAGTACATTAGAGACAATAACCAGAACTTTGCAGGATATCGAAAATAATGAGTGTATAGATGCAGAAGATAGTCAAGAAGTTGAGGAGGAGAATATATGTCTCGCCTTGCTTCGGAGCTCACGAAAGTAGAGGCCTCGGTCGACGCTTCTTCCAAATGGTTCATTATATGTACAACAATAGCAATGCACATCGGAGGGGTGCACCATTGTATATATTTTTTGTTGTTCTTCAAATTCGTTTTAATGCTTTGCTTGTCATTATTCGTTCGATTGTCAATTCATTCTTCTCAAATATTTCATTTTCCACCCGCTTCTACCTAAGCGTATTTTTATTACTCTCGCTTCAGAGTTGGCCATGTTATTTTTATCCTCATCAGTGACTCAATCACTGCTGGGCCCTAGTGGCCGCCCCCAGACTCGGGACGAAGATATCAGACCTAGGAAGATGAGGATATTAATTGGATGGGACGCTAGACCCGGTTTCTAGCAATGTTGCTGCTACAAACCCCAATGGGACGCTGGACCCGGTTTCCAGCATGTGTGTTTATGACCAATCTCGATTACGTAAGGGACACTGGGCCCGGTTTCCAGCAGGTGTTGCTCCCCCGGAATGCTAGCGATGTCTGCTTCCGCCTGCACCTCTAGCATCCCCCAAGTGTTAAAAAAAAAAAAAAAAAAAAAAAATGC